TGGAGCTTCTAGCAAGCAGCCCTGAGATGTCCTGGTCGGCCACAATAATCACACTGACGAGAATCCCCTTGTTTGCGCTGATCTGGGGCACCCTGACAGCGCTGGTCCAAGCGCTGCCCACCCCTGACTGAGGATCTTGAACGAGACCTTGCAGCTGCTGCAAGGGTCATATGATCAGCTGGAGGAGTCAAAGCCGCAACTGGAAGTGATCCAATTCGGACGCGGCACTTATGCTGCTCAATCATTGCATACACCTCATAAAGAAAATGAAGCGTCAACATCGACAAGATCTTGGAACGAGGTCCCTCAAACTCATCACGAAGCCCCATAAGGAACTTGTGAATCTTATCCTCCTACTCTCGAGTATGCAAGAATACTGCTCCTTCAGGCTCTATTCTCGAAATAGCAGCGAGAGGACGTAGAGTCTCATACTCAAGCCAACGCTAGGTCAAATAGCCATAATAATCCTGAACAGTCATATCTCCTTGCCGAGCATATGAGAGCTCCTGAGAAAGCTTATAAACACGTACTCCCCGTCCTGACTGGGAATACATCTCTGATAATGCACTCCATTGCTTCGGAACAGAGCTATGAAATTGGTGAATCCTGCAAACAGATGGATCCATCGAGCCAAATAACCATCCAAGAATAGTGCAGTTCTCAGAGAACCACGCAGAATATCTAGGGTCGGCATCAGCTAGCTTTGGGTGAGATCCCGTCAGCCAACCAAGCTTCCCTACATAGCCTAAGAAAAGCTGGAATGAGCGAGACCACTCAGCGAAGTTACGACTATTCAACAATTGTGCCGTAACTTTCTAAGAGATCATGCCTGACAGTGTTGGTAATGCAATTGTGTCAGTAGGTACTGTATACTAGTCAAACATAAAAGTGGAAGTACCCATAGATGTCTCAACGGTAAAGGTGTCAACAATAGGGGTCTCAAGTCCCTCAGTAGTAGTCATATCAACAATAATACTAGGGCACCCGTGACAAAAAAATAACTCTAAGATAAATGGAGGGATAAAATAAGGGAGAACAATATACCTCCAATCGAACAGTAGCGACAGATAAAGAAAGTCCAGAAAACTCCCAAATAATCAGGTCATGATGCCCAGAAATCCAATAAACATAAATATATGATTTACTGCATCAAGAGCATATCAACGGAGAAGAAGAAGATACAACCCCTCTTAAAAGGTCCTACGGTCCCAAATAATCAGAGTTGATTAATATGACTGTCTAGGGTGGTCTTGATTGGGGTTCAATTTACTGACTTAGGTTTATTTAATAGGACTTGGGTAGGCAGTCTGTTTATTTAATAGGACTTGGGTTTATCAGCGAAGAGGCAGTCTTTGATTGAGCCCAGCAGTGGGTTGGGCATTGGGTGAGGCTATCGATGTCAGTGTGTTAAGGTTGTTGGTGTGTTATGGATGTCGGTTTCTAGGTTTGGGCAGGTGTTTTCGCTAGGCAGCAGGTTGTCGGTGGAGTTTATATGGAGTCGGTGGAGTTTTGCTGGGCAACAAGTTTTGGTCTATCAGTGGGTATTATTTTGGTGTTTGATCTGTGCTTTATGGTTTTGAGTATAGTCGGTCAGTGCTTTATGGGCAGTCACGCACGTTGGTTGGTGGGCAGGTAGGCTATGGGTTGCTGGGCAGTAATGGTGGGTTGCTGGTTTTGCTTGAAGGCAGTTTGCCGGTGAGGCAGTCTCGGTAGAGGCTAGGTTAGGTTTGGGGTAGGGTTAGGGTTTGGGGTAGGGTTTGGGGTAGGGTTAGGGTCTGGCTCTGATACCAACTTGAAATATTTAGAAGAGAGAAAAAGGGGATACAAACTAAGTGTAGAGCCCCGTATATATAGTCAATGAAAGTTACACTAAAGACAAAAAGGTAAAAATGAAAACTTAATAAAACCCTAATAAATTAGGTTGCTGCTATATCTCCAACATAATGAAAAGACAAGATTCATGTAGTCGACCCCACAGAGCTGGGATAAAGGATTTGTTGTGTTTGAGTTTGAGTTCGAACGAAAAGGCAAAAACATCTCTGATCCCCAACCTTGAAAATCTCCAGTCAAACAAATGATTTAAATAAATCCATTTTCTGACCAAAACAAATAGTCCACTATCCAAGCCTCTTCATCCTACAATAAACCTCTTTGACCACCCCTCGTTGCCGCATAGAACTAAAAAATCACCCTTTCTTATAAACTTTCCTAATTTGAGAAGCAGGGATCATATTAAGTGTCTACTACAGAAAGAACACAATCCGAAAAAGAAAGTGTGACAATTTTAGGAGAGAATGGTGTAGAAATCAATTGAAGCATGGGCTTAAACTCCCCACAGGGTTTGAAGTAAAAACATGTTTTAAAATTTCCAGAGTGAATGAGAATTAGGGAAACCTTCAAGCAAGAGAATCACAATGACTGTTGAACTCAATACTGGAAAACGTTTAGTACTCATGATGAATGGTTTCCCTTCCTTGTGCTTTGGTGGTTAAGTTGTAAAGTCCTGCCCCCTGGATTGGGGACTGGCACACAGAGAGAGAGAGAGAGAAGAGAGAGAACTTGTAATTAGCCCAACCACCAGATAAATATTTATTCAGCACGGTTCAGTTTTTTTGAAAAAAATTAAAACTCAAAAATTTCCTCTGTTCTCCTTAATAGAAGCGTGTGCATCAATATGTTTCCTATGTGTTATGACAATAAAATGACACTTTCAACTCTTGTCTCAGTCTGGTGTCAAAGGAGGTGTATAGTAGCTTTTGTATTCCATCTTGGGTTTAATGGTTGATGGCCTGATCAGTTGGAGACACATGGAGTATCTGTGAGAATTTACACCATAAAGAAAGTTCAGGCTATAGTAGAAATAAGGGCCTTTATGTCTCATCTAGAACGTCTAGAAAGAGTGCAATAGGTGGATAAAAAGATCTGAAAATGCTGATTCATATATTAAAGTAGTTGATGTTGAGCACCCTATTGTTTTGGTTGTAAAAAAAATGTTTTCCCTTCTCTTCTAATTCTTCTGCTGGTTCCTCGGGGAGGTTAGAGCCTCTTGGCTAATGTGTAGGTACATAGTTGCACCGTTTCCGACAATCTTTAGGAAATAATTTACTTATCTAAAAACAAAGACTCCACATGTTGTAGAAGTGTCAAAATTTAATTCTATGAGGCATTGGTTATATCATAACCAAACATCACCACCTATCCGTTATGGAATCCAAATTCAGATATATTTTCAACTCAGACATCCTTCATAGCTATAGAAAGATGAGACAACTAGACAATGTATTGCACCAATGAGACTTTGGTCCAATGGTACTTCTTGTCTTGTGAAGGTTTTGCCTTCTTGAGGTCAAGGGCATAGTTGTTAGTATCGTACGATACGCAATACGTTACGATTCAGAGGTAAAACAATATGGATTATAGTTATGTATCGTTTTTGCACCGTATCATCCGATACACGATACGTTTTTACAATACGATACGATCGATACGCGCAAAACCTATTTTTTTTTTTTTCTGAAACGACGTCGTTTTGTCTAAATAAGACACTAATTTTTTTTTTGTATAAAATTTTTTGAATCTTAATTAATTTTATGGATTGAATTCACAATGGATGTTAGAAATTTGGATTAAAAGTCTTTTTGGAGTTTGAAGTTTGAATTAGTGAACTATGGTTGTAAACTTTGCATTATAATATTAGCGAACTATGTTGATGACTTGAATAGGTGGTGAAGTATGAATGAAATGCTATATTTTTATGAGTGTATGATTTTTTTTCAAAGGTATATATATTTTTTTATTATTTATTTAAAATTGCACCGTATCTTACGATACACGATACGATACACTATTTTTAAAAAACGATACGCCTTCCGATACACGATTTGATAAGTATGGTCAATGGTTCAAGTCCCCCTTCCCCCTCCCCTCCCCTCCCCTCCCCTCCCCTCCCAAAAACAATATAAAAAAAAAAGTTAAAAAAAAGTATTGTACGAAACCACATTAAAGGAACCGCATAATTAACATTCCAAAAAAGTGCACCAACAATGTACTAGCAATACTATTCCAAAATCAGGCATTCATAAGCTCATGGATCTTAAAGTCCTATTTCTGAAATCTAATATTTACCTAAAACCAGAAACCAAGTCTGACCCCTAGTCTGTTGCACTACCACAGAGACTATTCTTCTTCCCAAAGCCATATGGATTATGGAATATACTTATCCTATGCCGTTACAGTATTTAATGAATGCAAGACACTCATATTTACTCTGTCAGTCACCAAAAGTCAGCTGTGACAAATGATTCTCTAGTTGATGCACACAAATCGAATCTGAAATCCAATATTTACCAACCAGAGGGCTCTTGCTCCATTAGAATCCCTGAAAGGTAGTATGCAGGAGAGCAGGACTTCAAGTCACTGTTTAAGGATAGGGGTTTTTTGGGGAAGAAATTAGGAATGCTTTCATGAATGCAATTCTGTTATCATCTTGCTGCTTTATAAAAGGATATATGTGGAGAGGCTTCAGTGAGCAACATCAAGATTGCCTTTTAGATAACTAAAAGGATAATTGAGAGGAGGAATACTATTAAATGTGTAACCACACCTTGATCCAACAAGAATCTGAATAAAAGATCTTTCTTTCTCATGATAAGCCATCACTAACTCAATCTCAAAGCAAGAAAGTTTATCATGCAGCATTCATTTAACAAATCAAAATGCTGAGAGAGGTGGGTTAGATCAATTCCAAACCTCCAGCTATATTCACTCAAATGGCCACGTCCTGACCTCACTTAGGAACACACATTCTACTGTGGGCACATGCTTGTTGCAGTGGAAGTTCAATTGGATACAAAGAGTTGATTTTTGACAGCTCTTGGGATGTGAAAAAGAATTACTTGAATGATGAAATTAGACTAGTGGTCCAAATTCAGTATACCCAGCTATATTGAGTTGACAGAATCACCAGCTATACCTTGTAGGAGATATAATGTCAAAGAAACTCACCGATCATACTCAATATTTTTTGTTGGAGATACAGTAAGATTATTTGCACTTTCAAGAGCCAACAGGTAAGCAACTCCAACCTGGTAAATGTGTAACAATAATCACTGTTAGGGGGTACAGAACGAAAGGAGTTGCTCTAGATATGGAAGCAAGTCACCCCTAAATGCATTTATAGAATAAAATTGACGAGGGGACAAACTATTTTTCATAGCAAAGATACAGAATAGATATCATACAAAAAAAAAGGGTCCAATGCACATTCTTCTAACACAAGGACTGCCTCAATTCTCTACAGTTTTTCAGATGATTTGGAAAAATATATCATGCCTAGAAGAAATTGATATATCAAGAAACGTGATTAAACTCAAACCTCTCTGGAATCTTAATTAGACTTTGCAAAAACTTTGAAATCCATGAGATATGCCTTTATCGGCACACTGTAGTGTTTTATCCCTCTTTTTTCTTTGCTACTGCAAAATACGCAGCAATCATGTCTAGCAAGACATCTCGCATCCAACAAGACATATAGCATCAGCATTCATGTTGAGCACAAACACACAAACTTTTACTTAAAAATGCTATGTGGACCATGTGGTACAGATACATGTATGGATCTATGTTTACCATTCTATTCCTGTTTCCTGCACATCTTTTACTTAGAAACATGCACTCTAATGCAGATACTTCAAAGAATGAACTTGTGTAATTGCCCCATATGTGAGCCTTATTTGCAGGGGTGGCTCAAGCCAATTTGAGGCCTAAAACAGAAACATTAAATGAAGTCATTTTTATTTTTAGTATTATTTTTTTAAAAAAATTAATTTATTTTTAATTTTCTATGTGTGAGAAAGACAAAAGAAGAATGTTTTAATATTGTTGAGAAAGATATTTCAATTTTTGTTCTTGTTTTTTTACCACAGAAAGGGAGAGAGAGTATATAATTTCAACTTTTGTTTTTGTTTTTTATTTTTTTTTACTGGAGAAAGAGAGAGAGAAAAAAAAAATGGGTGGGAGTAAATATAAGTTGACTTTTAAATATTTTTTTATTTTTTTTATTTTTAAATTTTTAATATTATGGATTAGATTATAGGCCCAAATTATTGTAATAAAAATTTTGATTAAATTTAATTTTTTCGGACTTTTTTATAGGGCTTAAAATTTAATGGATTTAATTTTTTTTGTAGGCTAGTGATGTACCTAAAATTATGGGACTTTCTAAAAATTTAGGGCCTAAAACCCATACTTTTTTTTCCATATTGTAGGGCCGGCCTTGCTTATTTGTCAAGTGAAGCATGTATATCATGAATACCCTCACTGCATGTAGTATGCAGATGAAGAAACGCTTAAGGATGGAAAAGGGAACGCAACCCATTATGGCTTTATCTTTTCCAAATTGAGACCTTCAAGATTCCACAAATCTGATCATTACATGAAACAATTTCTCATGATTGACTAGATAAGTTAATACCCACAAATTTTATAAGAACACTGTTAAACAACCATCTATTTCAAAAATTTAAATTGTTGAAGAAGGTATAACTTAAGTATTTATACTTCAATATGGTCCCCACGTGCAAGCTAGACTTTGGGTCTAGCACGTAAAAATCTTTTACTAATTAGGGCGGCAGTGAGATTCTAACACAACCATATTAAACAACCATCTACTCTCGGCAGAATTCAATTAAATCAATTATATGATGCTGCTTCTTCACTTTTTAACTACTTGCTAGAACTCAATTAGATCGAGTATATGATCGAGGAAACACACTTACAGCAGCAGAAGAGCTAAGACCTGAACTGTCAAGACCCTCAGAACCACAGATTGACCCAATGATACCCTGCAAGAATTGTAATGATCACATAATAAAAGCACAAAGCTACACAACCATACAAAAAGCGACAAAAATTCATTGAAAGGTCGAAAACAACAAAATTTGCCAAAGTAATCTTGACAAGAGAGCAAATATTTCTTCCAAAGACTCTAAAAGGCTTACAAAGTAAGTTCGTTTTCCATACATCACGTAGGCTTGTGGTGAAGTGTACTTTAGTTTTGTGGTGAATGCAACCCCTTGATTGAGTCAATCTATCAATGGCTGGTGGATGTAACCTTAATAACAGCCCCAAGATATAAGACGAAATGACCCATGTTACTATTTAGGATTTTTGAAATGAAATATTTTAACTTGTGAGAGCATCTAACCCAAAACCAATTGACAATGGATGGAGAGGCCCCTAAAGTATATAAACCTATCCAGGTGGGCTAAATTATTTGATGTGAGATACAAGCTCTCTTAACATCCTCCCTCATGTGGGACCCGGCCTTGTGCATGAGGTCAACAAACAAACAAACAACTATGCATACCGGAAAATTTAAATAGGTAAGAGACTAAATCCATTGACCACCGAAGGTCTAGCTTTGATATCATGATAGAACATCCAACCCAAAATCGATTGGCAATAGGTAGAGTGGCTCCTCAAGTATATAAATTAATCTTGGTAGTCTTAATTATTCAATGTGGAATACAAGCTCTCTTAACATAATTGAACTTCAAAGACTTGGTCAAAAGAAAAGAAACAATTTTTTAAACATGTTAGTATGTTATACCTGCATACGAGAAGAAAAAGTCAAAATGTAACATGTCCGATGGAGTTTATGTTATTCACCAAAACCCCGATTATTGGGTTTTGGTGCATGAACTCAATCATATCCAATATTCCAATAACTGAAAATAGAATCCACAAATTAAATAGCAAATGTAATTAAACTCCTATTATCTAACAAAAGTGACAATCGTCCAAACAAAATAAAATAAAAACCAGTCTTTAAACAATAAAGAAATCACTAATACATGAAATCTTTCATAACTTCGGTCTTCGACTTCCTCCAATTCACAAATATCCTATAAGCCCAACAGATTAATTGTAGATGACAATATCTTGTTGAGCTTAACAGCCCTTCAAGTAGAATAATTACAACATGAAAAATCATTGTCGAGCATTAGTTTCAAAATAATGGAGAGAAAATCATGCCAAATAAACTCGGTGAAAACAGTTTTCTCAAAAAATTATTTTGTATCACTCATGCATATAAATCATCAAGTTCTTGAAATGATAGTATTGATTGTCTATTAAATAGTTTTCAAAATTGAAGCCAGTAGATGTAAATATCTTAATGTCATTAATTTATAAAGAGGGTTTGTATCACGCATCAAATAATTAGGAGCACCTAAGGTTGGTTTATATGCTCAATGAGCCTCTTCACTTAGTGTCAATTGATTTTAAGTTGAATGATCTAACATGATATCAAAGTTGGACCCTGGATGGTCAGGGAGTTAAGACTCTGACCAATTTGTATTTCTTAGTATACATGATTGTTTATTTGTTCATTAGCCCCACATGCAACCTGGATCCCATGTAAGGGAGAGTGTAAAGAGAGTTTGTATCTCAAATTGAATGATTAGGATCACCCAAGTTGGTTTATATGCTTGAGAGGCCCCCCAAAAAATTATCAACTAGTTTTAAGTTAAGTGTTCTAACAAATGACACCTAAAAATTTCATACATATTGCATGCACAAGGTTTCACTATCGGAGATTATTGGTGTCAAAATCACCATTCAATTTTCATATCAATAAAAAAGCAACCTAGCATACGAGGGTCCCACTACTGTAGGATTTGGATTCTGGAGAGGGTTGGATCTATGCAACCTTAATGAAAAAGTGTTTTAGCGACTCTATCTATTGACGTTCAAGTCACAACGAAACAACCTTACCATTGAATTAAAACACACTCTCTGATTTCAATACCAATAAATCCTGAAAATAACTAGTGTCAAATCACCCTTTAGTTTCAATAATAATGTGTCCCAAAAACAAAAAATAAACAAATATAGAAGGATTTTTTAGTATTTACAAAATTTTCCTCCACACTTCCTTCTCTATTCTCTATTTTTCTCTCTTTTTCTTAAGCAAAGGAATGATTGCCTTATGCACCTACAAGACACTTATTCTCTAATAGAATTTGGTGTTTATGAGAGAGGGATGGTGGGTTGATTGTTATCCAACCTCCTCTCAATTAGATTTTTTGCACTAATGACACTTATTCTCTAATAGAATGCGGTGTTTATGAGAGAGGGATGGTGGGTTCATTGTTACCCAACCTCCTCTCAATTAGATTTTTGCACTCATGACACTTATCTCCCTTTAGTTTATGTAATTACATGCTGGTCCACAATTTATTGAACTGTTAAAATTACAACTTTTATGGGTATTATAGTTTATCAATGTCATTAGATGAACTTGAACAAGGAATCCCACTTCCCCCGCATTAGAAAAAAGGGCTAAAATATTGTCAATGTCATCTTCTATTAGTTTTCTGTACGTGATATAACTTCTCTACAAGAAATTAAATTCTAAAGCAAGCAAAGCAATACTTTCCTGTAACACCAAGCCCCTTAGTCCACATGCTTCTTAGGTCACCAACCAGTCAACAAGGCATTCATCAATGGTGAAGATGTGGAAAGATCCTATCTCTCATTCCAATCATGTAAACTCCTTCTCTACATGTCACGAAGTCCTGTTTCTGAGAGCAGTAGATTTACTCGTTCTGGAGCCCCCAACAAACCCCAATCCAATTCTGCCCTTACTTTTGTGGAGATTTGTGTAGTTATCACCTCTTTCAAGTTTCGATCTAGACTTTAACCAAATAGAGCTTCCAAATTTGAACTTACCCTAACTTCGTATCCGAATGTCGCATTCACATCAAGTGTAAAGTACACCTTACACTAGAAATCTCCACTCTTCGCAACAAGGTATGGGAGATTCCTTCCTTTCCCATACAGATCAACCCCTTTTTGCAGCACTATACACATACAACAAGGGGAGAACACTAGGATAAAGCTTTCTTTGTGTCAAGTGTTCTCTTCATCTTATATAGTGTTATATACATATTACACTATAACTATGGTTGATATATGTTTGTCAGGCAAAATTTCATTCTCCAAGCATTGATTATATTGTTCCATTAAGGGCAACATGATGATCTTTAGGATTTGTCACATCTTTAAGGCTTTGACCACTAGTTTAACCAAATAGAGCTTCCTAACTGTTACAAATCATAACTTCGTCCTCAAATGTCGCACTTGTGTGGGTGATATATGCTTTCCATATGAATTTTCATATTCCACGCACTGATTATGGTTTTTTATCCTCTACAAAATGGATCACGCCTTCTCTTACAAAGGTATGCCAAGGTGTCCAAAATTTGACAGATGACCCACTGCCACCGTAACATAAGTTAAGATGTCTAAAAGTACCTCAACTTGGATCAAATGGAGACACAAATCATTTCATTCACATTAGATCACAATATCCCCTGAATACCCTTTGAAAGGAAAGATTTGGTCAATCCTTATTCCACACCTGCTTCTACCAGCTCTTTGTCCTCCATTTGCTTTTCATAACTCTAGACAGACCATCAATCGTTCTTTTACTTTTCTCATCTGTTTTATTTTCCAACAGTCCTATTACACGGGATCATTAATACATTGGTCCTTTAAGCAGGTATAAGTGGAATTGTTGGTAGTCTACAATAATATTGGAACCATGCTCATCCATATGCATAAAGCCAGTGATACTTTAATTTGATCTCTGTCTACCAGTTTCAACAATCATTCAGAATCTTACAGAAAAGTCCGTCCTTTTACCCTTTCAGAAGTTATTATGTAATTATTATATTTGCAGTTATTTTACAAGAAAATCCACATAAATTTATATAGTGCTCAAAATGGTTGTGTTCCTTGCTTTTAGATTTTGGCACACAGTCTCGGTGTCTAAACATAGAACAGCACAGAAGTCCATAAATCATGTCTCTCTCCTGAAGAGTCCTACACTCCTACTGGGGCCATAAATGCTCTGTGTACGAATATAATATGATATGAGTAATCCAGCGTATATAATTCATAAATTGAGGTGCATCATACCCTCCAAAGCAATAAAAGAAAAAAAAATTCCAACCTTTGTTAGACGGTGTCCACTACTTTGTAGCGCATATAGTGCTCCTCTAGCATAACTGCCCCAATTGCATTCATCCCGTGCTTTTGCGGCGTCATTTGATAGGATCTTGTCATTTGACTTAGCAATATGCCTTGGAATCTGAATTTCGTCTACTCTGAAACCAGTAACACTATAAGATTTGATTTCATTAAAAAACCACATGATATAGTGTACTAGACATATAAAAATATGCCGATCATTTTCCCTTTAGAACAGGAGAAGAAAAAAGAGGTATCTGCACATACGTTTGGAATGGTAGCATTTCCACTGGGGGATAACGGGAAAAAAAATACAATGTTTGGCATTCTTGGCACTTGCCGTATTTAGCAGAGTTTGGAAAGAAAATCCTTGCAGAATTTGCAAGTCATTTTAGCTTTGGGTTATTGCATGGAGAATTCATTATCTGTATACTTTTCATACCTGACATGACAAGACATGGTTACGGGTGCGGGGTATGTGTTTTGCATTACTCTGACAAGAAGACTGCCCAGTGAACTGATAAAGCAAACAAGACACACCTACTCAAAGTTGCATAGCTTTTTTGCCTGTTGGATATTAGCCTCACTGTCTAAGAAGCAATTTTCACAAAAAATTATTTTTTGAAGATTTGGACACACCACTATTTTGTTTATTTGTAGAGGTAAAATCAGGATTTTCGTTGAGTATGGTTGTTTTACTTCAAATCAATGATACCTAATTTTGGTTATAAAATGTAAGAAATCTTTCCCAAAAAATGCCAATTACCTTTAGATTGACTAGATCAACGGAAAAATTTCCAAATGTCAAATTCTTTAGGCCACATCATCCTAACAACGATTAGTTTGCCAGCAATCCATTGTCAAATCCCTCTCTCTCTCTAAAGGCTTTCTCCTCATACTTGCACTAGCCAAAGTAATATATTATTCTTTCTTTGTGGTAAGTGAATCCCTGCTATTTCAACTGAGAAGATTTGAGTTTAGTTATACAGCTAACCCCACTTTTTTCTCACAAGGGTGTAACTGATCAAATTAATTCAAAACTTCAATTTTATTTACATTGAATGCTCTTTTTTCTTAGAGATAAGATGAATCTGAGGCCTAAGCAGACCCCTCGGCCATTAAGCCATACCCAAGTCCACGACTATGGATTTTAAACCATCAGAAGGTCACAATAACAGAAAAGTCTGTTGCGAGGTAGATCACTCTGTGTTTAGAAAGGATTCTGAATCCGGCATACTTAGTTTTTGCTTTTTATGTTGGAAAACAGTGTTATTACGGGTACTGAGTCTACCGACAGTGACAGTATTGTTAAACTCAAAGCCTTCTTCCAGCGGAAGTTCCATGCTAGTTGCATTATTTTAGGAATTGAAGTGGCCAGATCAAAGCATGGTGGAAGCTCATATCAGCCAAAGTAAGTGCTAGATCTTCTTACTAAAACAGTGTTTCTAGGTACAAAACCAGTTGATATTTTTCATGAAGTCCCATGCAAAGTTATCTTCTAATTAGAGCGAGTTGTTTAGTCATCAGAAAACTTAGAGCACATCGGTTTGCAAGTCATGTAACTAATACTAAACTTGATATCTCAGTTTTTGTTAGTATCGTAACCCCCTTCAAGTTTTCCAAGAATATCTAGTTGGGAGTCAGGGTTCTAAGATACTTGCAACAGTTGGTTACAGATTCGCATTTGCAGGTAATTGACTTTAGGGATTGAGCTGGTTCTTCCCCAGATAGAGGATATGCAACAAAGTATTGCACATTTCTTGGGGCAATTTGATGATTTGGAAATTGCAATAGTAAAGACCAAAGTTTAGCTGCTCAATCTAGGGCAGAAACAGAGTAGAGAGTCATGGCCTAGACTACATGAGAATTAAGATTCCAAAGAACTTATTACACATGATTGGATTTCTAGTGATCTTCCCTACATAGTTTTTTTGTGATAATCATGTTCTTCATATTGCTTCAAATCTAGTATTTTACGCATGAACAAAATACATTGAACTTGATAGTCACTTTGTCCGTGAATATTTCCAATCTGAGAATATCATTGTGCGTCTTGTACGCTCTGAAGATTAACTAGCACTCTAGCAGATATCTTCACCAAGCCTCTATCTAGAGACAAAATACATACTATCTATGTCAAGCTAGGACTATTTGATTTATTTAGTCCAGCTTGAGGGAAGCTTTAATGAGTAATACTAGTGTAAGGGGGTGATTGAGTCATAAGAGTGTACACTCCACCTTTGAGAAGTAGGATAGATTTTTGCTGGGTAATTTTTTTCTTTCTCAGACTTTTATAGTGGCAGCATGTTGATAGATGTCTCAATGTGGTAATCAGCACTCTGATATTGTGTGAAATACTGAAATCTTATACTTCAGGAAAGTGAAAATCGTCCATACTTTCAAATAAGGTAACGTGTAAATAGCAATTAAACAGCAATGATAAGATGACCATAATGAATTTCTGTCCATTGCGTCCATGCCTACAAAAGCACAATTTACACATACAGGAAAAAGAAAGGAAATGCCAATCTCCTCCCAGATTGTTCATCAGTGGTCAATACCATTTTCTTTGTATGCAAATGATATAAACAGCTACATATAAAGGAATGTTTCACCAAAATGAATGATAGAACGAATATAATCGGAAAAAATAGAGAATGGCATGAGGCGATTTACCTGAACCTGACTTCTCCTTTGAATTGTCCTGATCGTAGTATAACCTACACAAAGAGTTTTGATTAGCCCTTGTACTGATAATGGTACAAGAACGAAACTAATCAAGGGAAGTACACTTCAAAGACATTTCAGGAAAAAATTTTGAACTTCTCCCTAAACAGAGTACCTAGGGAAGAAAAGATAAATTGTATGGTGTGGCTTCAACTAAGTAGGCAATTAAGCAGGTAAACATAGATATTGTATAAAAATATTCATGTTAAGAGAACATTTTTCTTATGTCACAAGGATCTCAGCAATTCCATGCAAAAATATCATACTCAAGGGAAGATGCAAAATTGATGGCCACAACAGGAGAGAACCCTGGACAGGACCACCATTGGAACAACCCTCATGTGTTTTGGAAAAACCCTGATCTAAGCCACGAGGATGACCTTAGGCATCCATATCCAATGACCAAGGATTGAAATTTCGTTTTGAAATGGTCGAAATGGCCAAAACGTTCAAGGAGACCAAAACGAATCAAAATTTCAATACTTCGAGATGTTTCAAAAAGTTTCGAGGTGTTTTGAAATATTTTGGAATGTTTGCACCAATACTTCGAGGTATTTTAAAATGCTTGGGTATAAAATGATTTTGTCTCTCACATTTGCAGTATGAAATCATGCAATGGCTTTGTTTCTTGTTTTTGCTGCATCTCTTAAAGTATCTAATGTAAATCATATTATTCAACCCATCAAACGAGGGTGCTAGGAAAGGAACACTGAGTACAAAACTAATTCATTTGGATTGTCTACATGAAGTGGCCGCCCTAACATTCAACCACAAAATTCTTGGTTTAGTGCCTGAGCTTTTTACTATTCCACCAGGTAATAGCACTTTCATACAATGCCCATATGCCCCTAGTGTCATATACCTTGCACTGGAAAATGACTATACCTGAGAATCACCGGCAGGAACAAATCCAAGAAGGATGCCCCTATTAATTGTCATAGCCAAAACTGTTCCACCCTGTGAAATCATAGATAATGCAAACTCTGTATCTAAGTTCTCGACGTAGGAGTCCACAAATAACATAAACTTAATGTGTTAGCTAACAACTTTATTCAAATATCAGGTATGAAAGTTACTAAATAATGGGTAAAAATGTGGTCATTTTTTCCGAAAAGCCATCGAAGGCACATATACAAATTAACCCAAGTGCAGAGCTATGATGCTTTACAGACGAAGAATTAGATGGCAAAAATGTAATAAACAAATACTAATGAAATTAGACAAAAACAGAGTTGTGACTCCTAAATGTTAAAAGTAATTTCATATCAATAATCGCTTCCATATAAAAGAGGGAAAATCTAAGTCTTGGGAAATCCATTGTTAATAGACACACTATGAACACATAGAAAAGCTCCAATAAAATTATAGGCCTTGAAATCTAAATCAAAATATGCGAAGAAGAAGTAGGAGAGGAAGAAGAAAATGAGTCGCTGACTCATATTTAGTGAAAAGTAGTACAAGATGTATTATATGTGAAAAATCCTACAAGCAAAATGACAAATATTTAAGAGTTTTTCAAGTTAGTCTCATATTTTAGTCGTTGTCCCCTCGTGTGTATACAAAGGCATTATGTGCAATTTGAATGATACACTTGCAATCACAATACATTAGCATAGGAACAACTCCTACATCTGCAAGAAACCATCTCAACCAAACTATTTATAGTGAAGTTGTAATCATAGCTTGATACTCAGCTTCAACAACAAAACAAGCAATAACAGTCACTCTTGTTTTTTCAGAAAATAAATGATCATCCAAAAAATGCAGAAACCAATGATGAATTTACATTTCATGGCATCACCTGCCCAATAAGTATCGGTAAAATAGTCAGAGTATAATACACATCTGATGAATATAGAAAAACAGCATACAATCCAAACATGTCTATTAGCATATACAATCAAAGAAAAATGTTGAAATTTACTTGATGGTCAATATGGGCTCCCAATGGGCATATCCTATAAGGAGACACAACCACCCTAACCTCCATTGCATCTCTCCCAGACATTTCAGCTACCACCTTTCTTATTCCATCCAACTGCAACAAGTCAGTCAGATTGGTGTATAAAAGTCTCAATACATTTATAGGCAGTCAGCCTCATCAAACAACAATGCAAGTCGCGAACATCACAAGATGACTACATGACTGTTATAGTACAGCTAATTGTAAAAATGAGCAGAATGAGAAGAAACAGGCATAACATTGAATCGTTTCAAATGAGCACCAACAATACACCAATTAGATAATTCATTGGACCAGCTATGCACTACTAGTAATGTCGTGGTCGTAATCTCTCTGACCCTTTCTCTCTTTATATTGTATAATCAGTAAGCATCAAGATGAAAATTTTGTATTATAGCCTTCTTTAGGTATATTTTCATATTCCTCTATTTTAAGTCCTATATGCATTGAAAAGTGAGTCATACTTATTTCTTTAATGTTGCAAGCTTAAATCATGCCTTCATGTGCATGCAAACATGCACATAACCAGCTAGACCAGATACGCAATAGTAATTTAATTGTAGAAGAACGCGCCCTCTCCCCCCCTCCCCTCTCTCTCTCCCTCTCTGCACACACAAGTAAAAAGAAAAGATTTCAGCATTGCCATCCGTACGAACATTCTCATTTGGTCATCTGATAAAATCCATTTGCAATTCTTTTTATTAATTGAAGATGAATCCACTTATTTCGTTGATGTTATATGAGATTCCTTAATTAATCCTGTGCATATATTGAGAGATACAGACAAACATGAAACATAAGACAAGGATATTCAAATAGAAAACGACATTCCACATTTGCAACACCATAAAAACAGCCTAATTACCAAGTAAGTTACAGAAAGAACAAAAGGCAATCGAAATCATCTCTTTCAAAAAGTTTTATCAGATCACTGTTGAGGTGCATAGTGGAATGCAGATACTTTACAACTCCCAATGACCCATCTACGAACCAACCACATTGTCATAAAAACTATCAGCTGTGGATCTAAAATTCAAGAATTACCTCTGAATCAGAAGGCCAAGACAACCCACCCATCTTCCAAAATGGCCCGAGAATTAGCAATCTGTTGGCTTACTTGAACTGGATTTCCACCTACAGCTTCACCTTTGCAAATAAGTTTATAGATCAGGAGGACGATGATGAGAGAGAGTGAAGTTGAAGAAATGCAGTTGCGGTTAGTAAACCGGGAAAATGTCGGCGGTTGAAACATCATGGGATATGATTTCGTTTTCATGTACCAAGATAACAACGTCAATAATGATAATTGTTTGACATTTTCTTCAATTACAACTAACAAATCGAATTATATTAGCCCTTTTACGACAGGTTTCGAGTGTATTCTAATTTCTATCCTTTTCCTCAGATTAAAACACTGTTTATATTAATCATCTTTAAAATGAATAGGTTAAGGACAATATCAATAATCACAAGATGCGGTCCAACGTAAATGCCATCAATTATGTTGGTTTTGTACCACGAATGATTAAAACTAATATCAGAGATAAAAATTTTAAGATAAAAAAAATAATAAAATAAAATACAAATATATAACGCAGAAATCAAAAACTTACACCAATATACTATTCACTAAAAAATTGATCAACTGGTAAAGGATAAAAATATTATAACCCAATACATATTGAATACTACTAAATTTCTATGGTTCTCACATAATTAATAAACTTATTCATAGTTTATTAGGACTCTTTCAATACGTTTTCTATTTCATTCAGAATTCTCACATTATCAAACAAATTACTTTCGTGATAATTAGAGAGTTTGAATCAAATTCTAACAAATTATAAATTAATTTTAAATTATCTCTTTAATTATTTATTGTATTAATATATAGTTACTAAGAGTGTCCATAGGTGGGGCCGAGTTGGGCCTATGATTTTTTATTTGGGCTGGACCTAGGTATGGTAGGCCCAAGGTTTTACCAAGACAAATTATCGGTAGGGTTAAGTTTTACTTCAAGTATGAGTAAGTTACTCGTAATTCAACTCATCACTCATTAACCAGACCTTTAAAAAGTTTCTAACTTAATAATTTTATAAATTATATTTTTTGATTAAAAGTAAAATCAAAATAAACAAAAAATAATAATAAATAATTTTATTTATGAATAGAGAAAGAATCTAATTTTTTTTTTTTTTTGAATTGACCATTGAGTTTATCTTTTTTTTTTTGAGATATATATTGCCACCAAACTTTCAATGATCAATTTTTTTTTTTTTCAAACAATTGAGTGAAAATAGAGGCACTCTGGACAAACCTTAAACTTGGAGATCTTAGGTTTCCAAAACTACAAAAAAAAAAAAAAAAGCGGTAACCACCTTGAAGTTCCAAGGAGGAGTTGGAGGATTAAAGGAGAATGAATCGAGGAGCATTCTAGGGAGGGAGGGTGATCCAAACTATCGTTGGACGACTTAAGTATTGAGTCTCAATAAAGTATTAGATTGGGCTAGCCTTGGTCCTATGTTTTTCCAGCCTAATTGGGGTTTCACATATTAAAATCCTCGTGTCATTGATTGCAGGTTTTATTTTTGCAATTATATTTATGTTTTATGTGTGGTTGTTGATTTAAAATTTAATTAGTTTTTAATTGATAATTGTTTTTACAAAAAGCCTATTCATCCCTCCTTTAGATACATTTTGGGTTTACATAAACATCGATCTACACATCTTTCTCAAGCATTCACTCTGAAATCTAATTGCTATAATAATATGAATGGGTAGATAGGTAGATAAGAACGATTATACCAATTATTAAAATTTATATAATGAAGAAAACTAACATCTGTCTTGTGCGATGCATGTAATCTATATTTTCGATCTCATTGTATAATCCCTATCCATTTTCATATTTTAGAGAAGTTAAAAAATAATAATAATGAGAAGTTATAAATTTTGTGAAAAATTAGAGAAATAGATAAACAATAGAAAGTTATAAATGGTGTGGAAATTAATAGATAGTGGAGTGACTTGGATGAGTAATTATTATGATCTGCTTAAAGTTTTTTTTTTTGTTTGTTTGTTTAATAAAATGAAGATTTTGGGAATAAGTCATTATATGGTAACGTAGTTCCTTCCTTATTCATAAATAAAATTATTTATTATTTATTTTAAATTTAATTTTTAATTTAAAAATATAATTTATAAAAATATTAAATTGAAATTTTTAACTAAAATTATATAAATATATTTATTTATTTATTCATTTTGACTGTACTTTTAATTGAAATATATAATTTTTAAAAAATATTAAATTGGATATTTTTTAAATATAATTATATATATAAGGTCCGCTCAGCAAGTCTAGCCATAAGACCTGCCCAATGAGTGTCGAATTGGGTTGCGGGTAGCTTACCCCTACCTGAAGGTTGACATGGACAAGGACTTGAGTCTATCCTACCCATATCTAATCCAGAAAAAAAATTCACATATCTTTTTTTTTTTTGCATTCAATAATAACTTGACAACGTAATTTTTTATTTTAGTATTTTATTTGATTATTGTCGAGAAAAAACTATTAAAAGTAAATCAAATGAAAATTTAGAGTTTATAAGTGGCTTCATTTTGATAATGAAAAATAGTTATTGGTTATGATACCCTTGTCTCAAATTGAATAATGCCTACCCTTATCTCAAATTGAATAATGCCTATAACTCAAATGGGTCATTCAAGTGTTAACAGGGACGAGGTGAAAATTCAAACGTTTTGAATTTAAATCATGACAACTCTTGAGAGGCATAAGAGATTTATTTCTCATGAATACTCTAATCTCAATATGGATGAACTAAATTTGACTAAACCAAAGAGAAAATTAATCAAGTACACATAAATTGACTTAAACATTCTTCATCATTTAACTAAAAAAAATTAATAATGCCTATAGCATTGAAGATGGGGGAGACATGGCCATGGGTGCACGATATCCCATTTGGGGAGTGAATTTAAATAAACAGAGGTCAATTTGGTAACTTAACTTTTAAGATGGAAACAATTCAATCAATTTTAGTAGGGTTAAATCTCAAATTGTATTTCGAAATATCGATCGAATCTCAATTTATATTTTTAAAGATCAAAAATATTAATTTATACCTTTAAAGATAAAAATTTGAAAAATGTGCACCTTCGTCAGTCTAAAAACTAAATGAATAAATTACACCTAGACCCTCTAAATCTTGTCACTTAATCACTTAGATTCCTCACTTTTGAAATATTACACCTACATTCCTTTAGAATCCAAAAAATGACTAAAAATGTTTCCTCAATTGGGGCATTCAAATAATTAAATTTAAGTGATGTATTATATTGGATATAAAAAATATTATATAAACACCTGCATTATCTTAGGTATTTAAATGATAAGCTTGATTTTGATCTTTAAAATATAATGAGTCCATAAAATAAAGAGTAGTATAAAAATTATAATTTTTTATTACGATGAAATCATATTTTTTAACAATTATATTAACAGATATCAACGACAAGAGATTATATGTTATACGTGCATAAACGTTAGGAGGTGTACAAGTAATATTCTAAATGTGAGAGGGTTCAAATAATTAAGTGACGTATGAGGGGATTTAGGTATAATTTATCTATTTAATTGTAGGCTATTAGTTTTATGTGTATATTGATATAAATTTTTATTTTTAAGGGTATAAATTAAAATTTTTAATTGTTAAAAATATAAATTAAGATTCGAAACATTTTTTTATATGACGAATTTGGGATTAACCCTTTTAATATTTAAAGCCCACTCCTCAACTTTCCTCTTTAACGTAGGTCTCTTCGTTATTCCAATGCCAATAGAACTCTCTCTCTCTCTCTCTCTCTCTCTCTCTCTCTCTCTCTCGTTGAGCTTTCTCTGTCCAGGAAACTCCAACAATGGCCTCAGCCATGAAGAAGGTCGATAAGATCATCCAAATCGTGCGGCTAAAACAGGTCATGCAACGCTGGAAAACCATGAGTCTCCGGCGGCGATCATTCCTCTCTCATTCCGGCTCCGAATCCGATACCGGTTCGAATCGCCGTACACCGCGCGGTTCACTGGCAGTCTACGTGGGCGCAGAACGACGTCGCTTCGTGATCCCCACCCGGTTCCTGAACCTCCCAGTCTTTGTCGCCCTCCTCAAAGAGGCCAAGGAGGAGTTTGGGTATCAAATCAACAGTGGGTTGGCTTTGCCTTGTGAAGTTGGGTTCTTCAGAGCAGTGTTGGAGTTCTTGGAGAGAGATGAGCAAAGGTTTTGTGGGTTAGGGTTAGATGAGTTCCTGAAGATGTTCTCTGAAGTGAGTCCTGATTCTTGTAGAGAATCAACCAATACTTCTCATTGTCTCACACCTCTTCTGCAGAAAGCTAGGGTTTGAGACCACCCATTGACTGCTAATTTTTAGGGTTAGGTTTTTTTTGTATAGCCTGACCAGGCAACTGGGTTCACTTCTATGGAGCTTCTCAAGTAGTGGGTTTTCTTTCATTTCAAGTTTTCAACCATCCTTGAGCCCAGACTTCAATGTGGTAGTACGAGTTTCAATGAGATGAGGTTGAATTTGTTCTTTCTTCTTCTTTTCAAATTTTATTAGGTTTTTGGGAAGTTCAATTTGTTCAATCACAATTTGTTTCCGGTGATGGCGATGCAAGCTTTTATCACTCTTGAAATCTTCTGCAACTATTGATCCAATTTTTTTTTTATCATTTATGATGCAATGTGATAAATTTTGGTATAATTTTTTGACTCTTTCAGTTCTAGGTTTATTTGTGTAAATTTGATTTTGTCATTTTCTGTTCAATGGTATGCTGAAGCCAGCCGGTGGTGATAATTGAGGGGAGCTATACGGACCGGGAGAGAAGAAGACTTGCCTGGCATAAGCTAATTTTTGTAATCTCGACTCCATTATATGTAAAATAATAAATTATTTAGATTTGATTCGATTTATTTTATAAATGAATCGAGTTTAAACAATTTTTTACGCTTGTTTAAAAAAACAAGATCGACAAACTTAATCGAGCTCGCAAAGTTCAACTCGATTAACAGTTCTAATTGAAATATTGTGATTAAATTACTTTATAGATTTTTGGGGTGGTTGAAAAACTATTTTTCTTTATAGAGGAGTTTTAATTGAAATATTGTGATTAAATTACTTTATAGATTTTTGGGATGGTTGAAAAACTATTTTTCTTTATAGAGGAGAAATACCATACGGTTATAATTTTTTTTTAGATATAAATTACAATGTCAAAGGGCATAAGCAATTGCAAAATATTAGGATTGATCATGAAATTTATAAAATTAGATACACTTTTTAAATGTTAAATAATAACTAATTAAGATTATTAATAATTGATCGTAACATTTTATTATTGATGACCACGTTATTATAATTTTGCCTTTAAAAAATACAACTTGATTACTAAAAAGAATAATTTTTGGTATAGTTCTCAATTATTTTTGGGTATCATAGTGTTATTTTTCTTTCTAAGTTACTGCTATAAATAGTAAAAATAATAATCTAGTTTTTTCACCCAATGTGGTAAATTTGGTTGTCCTTTGTGTTTTTTTATGGTACAGTTTTTTTGTACGAAGATGTTATTGTTGAAACTCAAAAACAGTTATCCAATTTTTGGAGATTGTATGATGCAATAAATATATATTACTTCAAATATGCTTTTTTTTTCAATACACTTTAGTGGTGGATTTGTTTTCCATATATTTATTAGAATCCCTTTTAAAAAAAGGATTACTACTTGAATTAATGAAGGTGATTTATCATTAAAAGATATTGAGTGAAAGTATTGGATGAGATTTGAGAACAACGAGAAACTATTTGGTATACTCTATTTATGCTTTTTGTTTAATTTCTTGTGTAAATTTAAGGTTGTGGTGTGATCTACACTTCATTGCATACTCAGATTTTTTTAAAAAATAAGATTGGATAAGTCTTGACATTGTGCTTGTGGATGGACTATTCAATTGGATGGATAAGTCTCATGTCCATTGCCTATTAAATAACTAATTTAGCGATCGATAAAATAAAGTAATCGTTTGATCGAAACCAAATAGATTAGAGACAGAATCAATCTTTACCGATTGACAGAAATAGAGGGCATGGCGCGAAGGATCCCCAAAAAAAAAAAATTGACTCCTTCTTATAGCCTTTGGTTGAGGTTAAAGTTAATTGTGAAATGAATACAAGTTAGAGGGCAATTTGCAATTTATCCCTAATTATATCAGTGACTTGTACGAACAATTAGTCTTTTTTGTACTTTTTCATCGGACTATATTTAAAATGTCTCTAAGTTTTCAAGAGATTCCCACTAATTTGGCTGGCTATGATGATTTAGATACATCAGCATATCTTTTCCAGGTTTGTATATTCACAAAAAACAATCGTCCATCCCTTGCTTTATTTCATGTTCATTCAAATTGCACTTCTTATTTTATTTCCTTCTCATTTTTATAATAATCGATAACCAATCCAATCGACTATGTTTCTGATTCATAGTAATTTAATAAAATTTGGGCTACACATAACTTTATATAAACCACACTCGTCAAGCTAATCTATATATCTCTTAAAAAACTCGAACTTAATATCTCAAACCATTAAATAGTAAATCCTTGTCATCTATACTATTTCAGCAATTGTTACTCAACGTTGTTATTGATTTTACTGGTCTCTTAGAACAACGTTAATTTATCTGTTCACAATCTAACGTAACCTATGTCACACAAATATCAATAGGGCGAATCTACGAGAGTGACTTTAACCCATTTCTCAAATTCAAGACATATAGATAAAACATGTCTTATCGAGACCATTACGTATAAAAAAAAATAGTGGGACCTTATAGTACATCGCTAAGAAATGTGCTGGAAAAATCATATGTTATATGAACAAGTGGGACTGTGACACGAGTCTCCATTGATAGGAACTGAATAATTAGTTGCTTAGATGTATTTGATGTGTTCTCATCTTCGCTACATTCCTAAATAGAGTGCTCCAATATGGCTATTATATTCTCATTATTTTTATTTGTTTATTTGTTGTCTTTGAAGTAATTGTGATTCCTTTGGACCATGATGAGTCATCCGAGCATTGGCTCATCCGTCACTTCTTATAATACCAGAATGCCCCTAGAAAGTAATATAAAATGGTATAATCTTTCAATTAACAATTTCGTGTCAGACACGTCTTTTTTGTAAATTGATTCAGTACAAAGATAATTCACATTCATAAAACTAAAATCAAAAAATATTATATATTACATAGCATCAGAGGACGCATAGGTAAACAAAAGTATATCTGACGTTGATCGTGTAAAAATTGGATAAATATTATATATTAATTATAACAGTTATTTAGATACTTTTAATATTTATCTTTTAAATAATTTCTTTTAACTTATGAGAGTTTATTTGTCATTATTTATTTATTTTAAGATTTTAGTTTCCCTATATAAAAAAGATGCATGTAAGACTTTTGTTTAAATTAAATTTTGATTATTATTGAATACTGCTATTCCTTTTCAAACTCTTTCTCTTTTCTCATCCCTTTCTTCTTCTTTTTTCATTCATAATTTTTTCCTTCGTAATCTACATTAATTTAGTACTAGAATTATTACGATCTACATCAATTTAGTATCAGAACCCAACTTTAATTCGTACAAATCACAAAAAAAAACAACTGTTCATCAAAAAACACTGTTCATCACTATAAGCAATGGAAAAAAAAATACTGTTCATTGAAAAAACATTATTCATCGCTATAAGCAGTGAAAAAAAAAAACAAAACCAATCGAATAAACAGAACTATCCCTACAGTCTTGAAAATTACAGCAACATCCCAACTGTTTCAAAAATTACAGAAAAATCCCATAAAGTTTTAAAAGTTGCAGAACCATCATCAAAAGGTTCAAAAATTATAGAATCTTCCCTCAAAAGTTTCAAATTTCTAAAAACATCCCCAATAGATCCATAAAATTATAGAATCATCCCCAAAAAATTTAGAATTTCTCCTTGATTATAGTATGCATGCTCCCATAGAATTTGAGACTAATGTTTTTGTGCATTAAAAAATTAAAAAATTTACAAAGGGTCCAAAACACATTTTCTTCTATTTAAACTTTCTTGAAATTGTCAATTGCATTATTGAATTTGTTCTTATACCATTCTCATCTTTCAAGAGTCACTCATGAGTTCATCTAATGCGCATGTTTCAAGAGTCTCTCCTCAATGTCATCATCATATGAAGTTTAGGGATGTTTACATAGAGTCCCATATGACTAAACTAATCAAAGATCCTTCTCCATTTAGTGGCACTTTAGATCCTTTTGAATTCTTGGATTGGTTAATTAATTTAGAAGAATATTTTAATTGGCATGACATGGCATATTAGATTTCCATTGCATCTGTTTTGCTAAATTGATGTTGGAAGGTTCCGCCAAGCGGTATTTACAAGCAATGCAAAGAAGCCTAGATAATTTACAAGAATCACTTATCACTTGGGTTGAAATGAAATATAAATTGAAAAAAAAGTATTTGCCTACTTTCTACACGAATCAATTTTATGATCAATGGCTCAATATTAGACAACATTCTTCTAGTGTCTTTGATTACTTTGCCCAATTTGATTATCTCATGCACTTGTGTGACATTGTTTAAGAACCTTAAACAATTAATTAGTTTATTCTTGTGATTGATGGGTTCTCAATCACAGTCTCCTAAACAGTGTGACAGTATACCTTCCAATTTTAATTCCACCACATATGAGTATCATGATTACTCGAATGATATCTATGTTGTTTCTACATATTTTTCTAATTTCAGGGTAATCATGGATTTGGATGACACATTCTCACCTAAAAAAAAAAGATGTTACCCATGTTGACTACCAATCCCTTCGTCCAATTTTATCAGATCAGAGTTCACTTCTTTCATACCAACAAAAGTCGATACCCGAAGAAAGTGAGTTTGAACATTTGCCAGAGTCAAATGTTGAGTCATCACTTGTCATGAAACTTGCTGAAAAGTTTGTCGAGTCCACACTTATAAAAGATGTCAAGCATATTGAGTTACCGATTTTAGAATCTTTTAGTGATTGTTTTGTGTCTCCTATTTCAAGTCAATCTAACTTTGTTCTCAAATCTTTCTACTCTGAAATAGTTGACTTTATTTCTACTATCAAGATTTCAATTGAGTTGGTACTTAATTATTTTTACCACCAATGCGTTATTATTGTTACTCCTTTGTCATCGATGTCTTATCCCATTAAATACTTTTTGTTAAAATCTAATGAGAATTATTTTATTATTCTCGAGTTTAGATTTAATGCTTATTTGCTTAATTTTTCATTGAATATTAGTATTAGTC